TGAACCCATTGAAATGATGTTTGAATAAGGAGAAGGGAATGCTGATTACCTTGATCTAGTACCCATTGGATACATATGATCACAGAGCACTTCATGAATAGGCACAGTATTGTCTATTAATTAAAATTTCATAAAATTTAAAAAGTGAGTCAATTCAACCCAGTATGTGAGTTTTGTAAGGACACATATTCATACTTGATGTGGAGAAAGGAAGGTGTGCATGGAGTAGAGCACGGGAGATGGTCAAGCATTTTTTCCTGGGCCTCCACACCTGCCAGGGTTGGGCAGACAGTTGCTGGATGAGCCATTGCTGACACTCAGGCCACTGGACCTCAGCATCAAGACCATAGGTTGTGCTGGGGATATAGCCCAGTTGGTAGAGTGCTTGCCTTGCATGCACAAGGCCCTGGATTCAATCCCCAGCACTACAAAAAAAAAGGATGTTGTGAAGCAGGGGAGGAAGGACATTATTCTACCCAAAACAGAGAAAACAAGTGAAGCAAATGGCTGTTATCTGGGTCATTCACCCTCAAAAGGTACCCTGGAAACTTGAATAGAGCTTATACATTTGGAAAATTCCAAAGTATAAGAAAACAGTCTTTATATAACTGTGTTAAAATATCAAAATTTTCCTGAAAAAAAATTGAAAAGATAATTACCACATGATCCAACAATTCCGGTTCAGCCTCTGAGTGTACCTCTGAAATAATTGAAGCAGGGTGTCAAAGAGATATTTGTGCACATTGATTCACAGCAGTATTATTCACAAGAGCCAGAAGGTGGGAGACCCCAGTGCCCAGGCACAGATGGATAAAGACCCACGATGTGGTAAACACACACAATGAGATAAGGATCCAGCCTGTAAAAGGAAGGAAACCCTCACACAGGCTCCAGCATGGACCAGGAGGACTTTGTTCTCAAGAGAAATCAGCCAGTCACCAAAAGGTATATATGTGATTCCACTTCTTTGAGGGACAAAGAGTGCTGAAATCCATGAAGACAGAAAGGAGAATGGGGGAGAAGAGGATGAAGAGCTTGTGGGTATAGGAACAGTCTTAGTGTTGCAAGATGAAAAATGTCCTGAAGTGAATGGTGATAATAGTTACAGAACCGTTGTTGAGTGTACCCAATGCTACTGAAATGGTCAAAATGTAACCTCTGTTATGAATATTTTAACCACAATTTAAAAAATATTAATAAAAAATGTTAAAGGGACACTGTCTGATTTTCTTTATTTATGCTCCTCTCCTTGGTGGAGCTATGACAAAGAACCCACCCCTCAATTCTCACTGGTCAAGAAAGGAATTCTTTCCTTAGTGAATGGCCCACTCTCACCCCAGTCCCATCTCTCTCCCTTACCCATGAAGACTGGGAAATATTTAAAATCATTCATGGAGATGCAGCTCTTACCTCCTCCTGTCCTTGGTAGGATCACCTCCAAGTTCAGCTCAGAAAAGATAGGGAATGCTGAATCCTGGAGGAGGCAAGTCAGGGCCAAGATTCGGTACTCACCAGCTCTGCGCCTCTATTTTAACATCCTGGGGGTTGATCCTTGCAGGTGACAGAGAACAGAGAGGATTGGGTGATTCTGAGTGGTTCTTACACAGAAATGGTCAGGAACCCTCCATAATGAGTCCCAAGAGGCCAGGGATATAAGACAGTAAGAGTCACAGAGCTCTCAATACCCAGCCTCCATGTCCCTTCTCTAGGGAACAGAGGGAGGGTGAGGAGTTGGCTATTCTCCAGAAAGACAAGGATTGCTTTTCTACTGTGGTCCTCAGACTTAGTGAGAGGCCCTGTTAGCGTACACATTGCTAGTACTTCCCTAGAGTCTCAGACTTACTAGGGTTGGCCTATGGCCTAGGAATTCTGTTCTACCAAGTTTCCAGGTGACGCTGCTACAGCTGACCCAGAAACTCCACTTTGAGAACCCACAGTGTAGCTCATTAAAATTGGCAAGGACACAATACATGACAGTGGTTCTGCTATCATTGCCCAGAAGATCCTGGTGTCAGCAAATTCACAGAAAAACCAACCATCAGGCCACAGTCAAGGATGTTTGTTTTAGGACCTTTAGGAATTGCAATATAAGGAGACCCAAGGGCCAGGAGCAACTGTAGTGTGTTGCGACCAAAGGGGAAAAGGATAGAATTTAAAAATGTAAAAATCACGACTGTACAAGTTGTTATCCACAAATTGGAATGGGTGGAAGCTGATGGTCACTGATAGGTTTGAAAGCCTATTGGCTGTTGTTGATAATCAGCCATGAGCACAGCAAGAGTAACTGAGGGTCCAGGTGCTACAGATCCTGTAGTTTGGCCCAGTCCCAAATATTCAGGGGAGGAGATGCATGGGCCCTCCACCCTAGAAGGCTTCCCAGCTCCATTCAAAGGGCTCTGAGACAAGGCGCAGGCACTTTGTAATCTCAGTCCTCACACGTGAAATTCCATAAGCAGAGTTCCCTATTGTGTGCCCAGGATGGATTGTACATCCAATACTGCTGGGTGTAGGATGGGAGGAGGGTGGAGCAATGGGGACTTTGGACAATTTGGATCCAATATTTACTAACCCTTAGCAGCTTTGCAACTTTGAGGACATTATTCAACCTCCGTATTCCTCTGCTCCTTTATCTGTAATATGAGAAGTAAATCAACTAAATTTTTTAATTTTTATTTTTATTTCTTTAATGGGGATTGAATCCAGGGACAACTTTACCACTGAGTCCAATCTCCAGTTCTTTTTATTTTTTTATGTTGAGGCAGGGTCTCGTGGAGTTGAGGAGGCTGTCCTCAAACTTGTAATCCTCTTGCCTAAGGAATTCTAATCACAGGGATTACAGTTGTGTGTTACTACATCCAGGATTTATTTAAAAATTTAAAGCTCTTTTATTTTAAAGGACCATGACAAAATTCAGTGTGGAGATATAAGAGTATGGGGCTCCACAGTGGCAAGCTGAGTACCAGGACTGGTCTTATGCTGAGGTTTAGATGTCTGCAGACTCAAGAGTGAAGGATGAGAGTCTGGATTCTCCTGCTTGGCCTGGGACCACACAGAGATGGGTCTCAGAACCACAGGAGAATGGGAGGCAAACCATTTGCAAATATGAAGTATCCAGGATTCTCATCACCTGTAGCTCCCAAGGAAAGCTTGTGTAACTGCACTGTGCTCCATGGAAGGAGATGTCAATGCAAAGACACACCCATAGATAACAAAAGTAATTGCATAAAGATTAAACATCCAATGCACCAGGACATTATAAAATTATGAATTAGAACTCCCTTATGATCCTTTGAATGAATCACCAGCAGAAATTGACAAATTATGATGCTATGTGATTTTAATATGTATAGCTCCATGACAATACAACGAGAAATCAACAAAATTTGACACAAACAATATTGGAACATGATTAACAATTTGGACATACATAGAATAATGCTTTCAGTAGTCATTAAAATTAATGACATTACTTATTCAACACCAGAGAAACACTTCATATGTTTTACGATAGGTGCTATATGCCTCGTTTTTAATTGCACAGGAGTAAAAATATACAGAGAGCATGTTGTGTGACCACAGCACAACTAGGCTGAAAACAAGCGACTAAAATGTGATAAGAGATTTTCCAACTATTCAGACTTTAAGAAAGGCATTTCTACATATCATAGGGATTACATGAGAAATCTTAATGTATTGATTGAAATTTATGTATTTGTACTGTTTCCAGTGGACAAAATTAAGATGAAAATAAAGAAAGGAAAAAGGTGAAGGGAGAAATTGATTTTATAAGTAGTGAATGTGATAGGCTGGAAGTGTGCATACACACACACACACACACACAACACAAAATAATGTACTTGGAATGATGGGGAAGTAAGGAAGATTATGATTTTATTAATAGGAGATTGTAGGTCCAGAAATTACTGTTTAATTTGTCTATGTTGAATGCCGACCAATTTCTATGCACATCCAACACAGTGAATTATTTCAGACATTCCAGTGTAAGAGACTCATTCCTCCAAGTCATTATTAAGTGTGTGACATGCGTCTGAAAGTTATACAGGTGTGGAAATGGAGATCAGAGTAGAGTTAGTTAGTAAATGACACAGTAAAATATAGAAAAGTGGGATTCAATACCAAGCTACTTGTGTTAAAAGCCCCCCCTTAAATCCTTGGCTCTGAGAACTGGACACGGAGGGAGTCAGGATTCCTGGCCCCCCCAGGGCTCAGTGCTCTTGTGAGCGGCTGGGTGGCTTCTCCACCAGAAGATTCAGAACAGGCACAGCCACAGTGGGAACAGGACTCTTTACTGGAGCCTCTTGCTGGGGCAGAAGGAGACAGCACTGCCAAGAGTGTGCAGCTGCCCCCAACAGGAAGGGCGCTGGCTTCCCAGCTGGGGTGGCTGCTGGGGCTGGAGGAGGAGTGCAGGGGCCTCAGCTGCCTGTCAGGGGGGGTTCCTCCCCAGGGAGCACTCCCACTTCCAGGGAGGGCAGAGTCTGCATCCTGGTGCCTGAGGTCACCTCCCCCATGCCCCTGCCACACCCTGCAGGAGCTTCTCTGCCCTGGGCTGAGGATGAGCAGCAGCAGCAGCTGTCAGAGGACTCCCAGGTGTGTGGTGAAGGGAAGCAGCAGCCATGACAGCCCATCCTCAGGGCCCAGGAGTTTGCTGCTTCAGTGACTCCTCAGCTGTTCCACCCTCATGTGGTTTATGCTTTCAGAGTCCCTGGGAAGGGGTCCTGACTCAGGGGTGCCCCTGGCATGGGAGTGGGTTTGAGTGGCAGGTCAGGGAAGGCACCCACCATGAGCCCTGAACAGCTAATCGGCCATGGCTACCAGGGAGTCCTTGGAGGGCATTTGCCCTTTTTGGTTACTGAGAGGCCTGAGGGTCTCATGCCCCACAGCTGTTTTAATCTCCTAATCTCAAGAGGTACTATTTTTTCTGGGAGAACTGACTCACTTTGACTAAGTCTAAGAGCTCACAGGCAAGGCAGGTGACAGATTCATGAAATGGAAAATGTCCCCAAGGTGAGTTTTCTCAAGGCCCCCTTCATGTCCTTGTTCCTGAGGCTGTAGATGAAGGGGTTCAGCATGGGGGTGACCAGCACATACATCACAGAGGCCACTGCAGTCTTCCTGGGAGAATCAGTAACTGCAGAACTAAGGTAAACACCAAGAGCAGTCCCATAGAACAAAGAAACCACCGACAGGTGAGACCCAGAGCTAGAAAAAGCTTTATACCTTCCACCAGTGGACGGGATTCTCAGGATGGAGGAAACAATTTGAACATAGGAGAATATTATGCCACACATAGGACCAATACCCAACAGAGTGGTTGATAAATAAACCACGATGTTGTTGACGAGGGTATTAGAACAGGCCACCTTGAGGACCTGAGTCACATCACAGAAGAAGTGGGGGATCTCCAGGTGTTTGCAGAAAGACAGATGCAGCAACATCAGAGTGTGCACCAGGGCATCCACAGTGCTGATGAGCAGACAGATCAGGACCAGCAGGACACAGAGGTGGGGGTTCATGATGACCATGTAATGCAAGGGGTGGCAGATGGCCACATAGCGATCATAGGCCATCACAGCCAGCAGTAAGTTGTCCATACATAGAAAAACCACGAAAAAATATACCTGAGTGAGGCAGCCTGCATAGGAGATGGCTTTGCTTTCTGTCTGGATGTTCACCAGCATCTTAGGGACTAAGGTGGAGGTGCTACCAATGTCAGCCAAGGACAGGTTGGAGAGGAAGAAGTACATGGGGGTGTGGAGGTGGGAGTCAGAGCTGACGGCCAGGATGATGAGCAGGTTCCCAAGCACTGTCACCAGGTACATGGACAGGAACAGTCCAAAGAGGACGGGCTGCAGGGCTGGGTCCTCTGAGAGTCCCAGGAGATGGAATTCTGCTGCAAGTGTTTGGTTTTGGGACTCCATGTGGTAAAGAGATCTGTTGGATGATAGAGACATGGTCAGCAATGGAACACACCTAGTTATCACTTGGTGGAAAGAAGTCTTTGGTAGTGACTTAAAATTGTGGGTCCTATTTAAACATTTCCTCTCTTCGGCTTCTACTCTTTATTCCTTTCTTCACCCATTCATTCTAGAATTTATATTTTATGATTTAAAAAATAAAATGACTGTATTTTTTAATGTTACAATACAAAAATAAAAATATATACTATTTCATTTATTAGGAATTATCACTCCTAAATGCTCTGACTTAACCTGGTATTAAAGGGTCTTCAATTATTAATACAGTTTCAATCCTGGTTTGATGACATCATTTCCTAAAGAAGTTTAAATCTGTCATTAATGTCATTCTGTCTCTGCCCATCATTGCCAAATTGAGTATTGCTCAAAATTGCCATCTCCTGTTTTTTTTTCCTTCCTCCTTGTGAGAAATGAGGCAATTCAATCAGTCCTTTAAAGATATTATTATATTCTTCAATCATCTCAAGCATTCCATTGTGACTTATTTAATTTAAAGGAATTCCTTTTTCTTTTCTTTTAGTATTTATGTTTTACTTATAGGTGGACCCAATAGCTTTATTTTATGTTTATGTGGTGCTGAGGATTGAACCCAGTGCTTCACACAGGTTAGGTGAGCGCTCTACCTCTGAGCCACAATCCCAGCCCCAAGAATTCCTTTTTTCTACTAGAATTCTAGCATTGACTTGTGTGTGTGTGTGTGTGTGTGTGTGTGTCTGTGTGTGTCTGTGCGTCTGTGTGTGATGATGATTTGTGACTTGGTCCTAAAGTGAGGAACATTTCTAAAAGCACTGAATAAATCTCAACATTGTGTCTTTTTTTTACAACTATTGCAACCATAAAGAAAATGACTATCTGGTCCTGAAAAGAAAAGTAGTTTGGTGTTTTGAAAGTCTGGTTCATTTATTCATTTTAAAAATTATTTATTTGTAATTGCAGTTTCTTTCGTTGCTTTGCCTTCTGTGGAGCTTGGAGTCTGATGAGTGGATCATGTTTGGAAAGAACATTTCAGACACGAATATTTTCACTGATTTTTTTTCTGAGCAGAGGTTTCCAGACTGTGCCCATAGGGCAATGATTTTGTAATTATCCCTCACACTTAGAGCTCTCCAGAGGGCCCTCACCTGTGTGAGTTTTGCAGAGAACTCCAAGATGCAGGTGAAGACCAACATTGCCTTGTGTCACATGTCCACGACATTCCACCCAGCACACCTTTAAGACACGCAGGCTCCCTCTGTACCTGGCCCTTGTAAGAATCCTATGTGTGCTGACGTCCTCTTAGCAATCTTCACCGTGTGAAAAGGACACTCCCTATCCTAGCTGAGTCAGGAAATCTGCCAGTGTGAACAGTGCTAAGAGCTGATGTGCAGATATGTGACTGACTAAAGTCATGGCCAAATGACGTGCTTCTGGTTCCATCCACATTGATGGATATGACAGAAAGTGAAATGAGCAGGGCCAAAAACACAATAATACTGTATGTTTCCTTTCATAGTTAGAGGCTAAAAAACCTTGATTTCATAGAAGTAGACAGCAGAGCGGTGGTCACTGGATCTAGGGATGGGAGGAAGAAGGGTGACAAAGGGAGGCTGGGGAACATGGACCACTGTAGAGTCGAGAGCAGGAATGTGTTCTAGGGTGCTCAGCACAGCAGCCTGGCTACAGTTTACAGCCATGTGCTATATATTTTATAAAGAACCTAAAAAATATATTGCAAAGTTTCCCAAACCTAAGCAATGATAAACGTTCTTTTGGAAATACTAATCACCCTCATCTGATCACTGTACATTGACACATATACTGAATTTTCATACTGCTCTTAAAAATATGTGTGATTATGATGTATCAAAAGTTTCTCGCTTCTCCTTGTAAGTGGAGTACATTCAAATCTCAATGTAGTTTTGATGTGCGTTTTCCTGGTGGCTAAATATGCTGAACATTTCCTCTTGTAGCATTTGGCCATTTGCACTTCTCATTTTAAGAAGTTTGTGTTCAGGCTATTCGACCATTTATTGGTTGGGTTATTATTATTTTTTTTTAAATTTGAGTGGTTTGTGTTTTGAGCTTTTAGTACATCTGGATCACAGCCCTCTTTCAGAATAGGAGCTGGCCACAACTTTCTCCCAGTCTGACAGTTTCCTCATTATTGCATTTTATCCCTTTTTGACTCAATGTCATCCTGTTTATTAATTCCTTCCTTATATCCTGAGCTATGGGGTCATTTAGGAAGACTTTACATACACCTAGGTGTGAAAGTGTTTCTCCTTTTTTTCTCCTACTATTTTCTGTATATCTAGTTTTATAGACAAAATGCAGGCAAAAAGAATAAAAAATAATAAAAAGTGCTAGCTAAGGTATGGGGCATGAATGACCTACTATACACTGGTGGTGGAAACCTAAATTAGTCCAGCCCCTATGGCAATAAAAGAGGTTTTCCTGAAAAAGCTAAAAATGCATCTACCATATGATCCAGCACTCCTTGGTACTGGTCAAAAAGGGCTAAAGTCAGCATGGTTTAGAGACACATGATTAGCCATGTTTATTGCTGCACGATTCACAATAGTCAATTAGGGCAACCGCCCACGTGTTCATCCACAGATTCAGGGATAAAGACAAGGTGGTACATTGTGGTACCACATGCTGGAATTGGACAGCCTGATATTGAGTAAATTGAGTGAGACTCAGAGAACAAATTATTACATATATTATCTCCTACGTGGAAGCTAAAAGGGGAAAACAAATTGGAAGGGAAACAAGAAGAATAGAGGAAGGGGATTTGGGAGAAACCCATGGGAGGTGGGGGATAGCATTGGGGAATGAAATTGATCAACTTGTGTCTTCATGCAAGCATGAGTACACCACAATGAGTCCACCATTCTGTGTAAACAATATGCACCAATTGTTTAGATTTTTAGATGAATTTTAAAATTTAAGTATTTATCTGAGGATGTGCACGTGGAAGGATGTGCATTCCCAAGGGAAGTGGCGGAGGGGCCTGCAGGAGTCCTGAGAGATCAAGGGAGACTGTCAAGCATGTTTTTCTCTCTGCCTGTACCCGAGCCACTTGAAAGGATCACAGACCACAGGATGCATTATGAACTGAGGGAAGAAGGACATTAGTCTACACAGGACAGAGAAATGAAATGGAGCCAAGTCCAGCTGTGTCATTCAAGGGACTGAGTTTTGCAGACATTAATGAAGAAAGGCCCACAGTGCCAGGGATATTGTGATGAGTCTGGAAATGTTTGCATTATTTATTGCTGTTGTGACTTTATTAACAATGGCACAGTTGTTGTAAGAAGAAGAAGCTGTCTTGGTATAACACGGGAGAGAAAAGTTTCAGCTCTGTTTAGAACCTTCCCTTTCCCCTGGATATACTGATCCAGGAGCTTCATTGACACTCACTTAGGGCTCTTGAAATATAAATGGTGCTTATATATTTGTAAAAATAAAAAGTTCAATGAGAAAGGATTTCTACACTTTCTTTTAAAATGTTAAAAGTTTTCTCAGAAAATTAAAAATAGAATTAATAAATAGGGGCTCGGTGGCATTTATCTCAGCTACTCATGAAGCCAAGGCAGAAATATTTCCAGAGTCCAGGACTTCATGGTCAGCTGGGCACCTTAGAAAGACCTCAGTGAAAGATAAATCATGATAAAAAAAGAGTGTTACCACACAATCCTGTAATTACAGTTATGGGTTTGCACTGGAAGCAGGGTATCAGAGAGATGTGTACCCCCCATTTACTGGAAGCTGGAAGCAGGGTATCAGAGAGATGTGTACCCCCCATTTACTGTAGTGAACCAGGAAAAATGACTTCCCTACTAGGGAGCTCACTAGAGCTGGGGAAGGAGGCAGAGGAGAGAAACGGGTTTGGTTTACTGGTAGTTTTGAGGAAGACAGAGGAGAGCTATTTTCTGTCTTAAATCTCCATCTTTCAGGAGTCAGGGGCTCAGAAAGCTTTTATAAGTCAGAGCTGACAATGGGATAAAAGGCAGGCAGTCTATGCATATGTAGACTGTGGCAGGCTGTGTTCATCAGAAACCAGCACAGACTGGGCTTCCTGCGCTGGTCAGGACCAGACACACTGCTCAGCCTCCATTCTCAGTGTGAAGAAGTTGAGGAGCTAAATCAATTGGGAGCCTTTGATTTCCAAGGTGACCCTTATCATCAGCATTATTCACAGGACCAGCAGGTGGAAGAAACACAAGCGTCCAGGTACAGAGGAGTGAAGGCAACCAACATGGCATGTGGGTAGAGCAGAGTAGCCACTGCCCTCACCAGAAGGACATTTCCCACAACAGGCTGAGCCTGGAGGACCCCGTGCTCAGTGACAGTGCTCGGTGACGTGAGCAGCCACAGAAAGGCAGAGGCTGGCCTGCACTTCCATGGGGCACCATGCACTGACATTCACAGAGAAGGGGTGAGGAGCAGGGCAGTGAGGGCCGGGGACAGAGAGTGAGAATTTAGTGTGGATGGTCCAGAGATTGGGTTTTGCAGGATGAAAAGTGTCTTGAGGATGGACGTTGGTGATGTTTGCAAAACATCATGAACAGGACTCGGGCCTTATAATTGTCAACTTAAAACTGGTTGTCATTGTAAAGTTTGTTATGTCTATTTGCCACAAATTAAAAATTAATTAATAAAAAGTATTGAAGGAACACACTTTCTGAGTAGCTTCATTGATGCTCCTCTGCTAGATGGAGCTTTGAGAAACCACCCACCCCTCCTGTCTCCCTCTGCATGCAGGAGAAAGCCCTTCTCAGGTACAGTCCCATGCTCACCCCTCTCCCCTCTCTCTGCCTCAGTCAGGAAGCTGCAGGTCAGGGAACATTTAGAACATTTAGGGAGATATAGACCTTTCCTCTGCCCGTTCTTGGTTAGAATCACCTCCATGTCCAGCTCAGAATCAGGAGCTGATGTGTCTCCAGGAGGAGTGCACGCAGGGG